CTCGTGTATAAATGCTCACTTAATATTCTGAGCTGTTAACGGCGATAGATTTACGAGTGCTAATGAATTTCGGCTCGTTTGTTTGTTCCATTATACGATTCTAATGTTTCATAGTTTTACTTCGCGAAGTGGAACAGTTCATAGAGCACGGGCCGATTACGTGGGATCGCTGTTTTGTACCCGGAAATCATTAGATCCAAGGGCGATTTGAAATTTGTCGGGGAACCGGGGCCAAAAAAGTTGTTGGCGAGGAACATGGACGGCATGGCAAAAAGAGCGGTGGGCGAGCTGAAGAAATGAAAGAAGAAGGAGCGTCTCTGTGTTCCCTCCGGTCGCCCCGATAGCCGAATAAATTTGGGTAGCTCCCTGTTTTTGGCCCCGGGCCACGGTTACACACCAAACCGAGGCAGAGAACTTTTTCGGATATACGATCGGACCTTTCGTAACGCGCGGCGCGCACACGAAAAAGAGATAGCCTCACGGGTTAGCTCTCTCACGATGGATTTAATTAAAAAACATAATTTAGAAGGGAGGATAACAGGTAGCTGCCGTTTTGGTGGGAACTAACGGAGGCTCTCTGGTCGCGCAGCGTAGCCTCGGTTACTCATGAATAATATTATTAATCTCGTCTCATCCACCGAAAGCTTCTATCGTATCCGGCCTTCCTCGTCCTTTCCAATAGACGCTGACGACTCTAATTCTACTTTACTCATGGACATCTTGCCCTCTATCGACTTCTTCTCGATTAATCACCAAGATTTATCATGCCCATCGGGTCATCAAGAAGTTACTAAATATCCCCAAATTGAACAACGATATTATTGAAATGGTCGTAGATCAAATTAGATCTGTTTGAATTCACAAAAGTATTATCGTGTTTATGGACGTATTCAGATAAAAGAATGGACTTGTATATTGTTTCTGCTCTAATTACTTCAATTATGTTCACAATCGGCTGATGGAAGGAACCAAGGAAGTTGGCGCCGAAGAGAACAGTGTTTTCCGTTAATCATAACCACTATCAGAGAACAAATGGTGTATACGAATAATAAGTTGACCATGTACAAAGGGGCAGCTCTGTTTTATAGGGGCAAGTGTCTCTGCGTGTCGGCGCGGTTGCATGCGTTGCCCGATAAACAAATAATTAGCATTAGAAGCAAGGCACGATATCGTAACGATCTCAACTTGCCACAATTCTAAAGGGTAGCATCGACTCAGTCCAGAGCCAACGCTCACTTGCCAACAATTCACTGTACATCGTTCTGTGTGTAAGCTGTGTACTTTTTCACTGGATATCTGTGAAGGACGCGATTAATGAAAGGTACAAAAATGTTGCGAAGAGCACGGACGATGGGAAGTTCGCTCCTTAATTTAATCTCTCGCGGTCGTTTTTATTGCTGCAGTGAGTTGTTGCGGTGAGCTTACTTTTACAACCGGCGCCGCGTTGCTTTTATAACAACCAGATCGATATTAAGATTGTGCTTGGCCCGTTCGCTGGGGGATAACATTGCACGATGCAACCGGGCAACAGGAAACGACGAATCTTTACTGCACGGTTTATGAGCGTTTCGCGAGGTGAATGTTGGAGATAAGTCGACCGAGTCTGCGATTTGGGAAAACAAACGGAGCGCTTGGCTAGATGATCGCGTCTCTTTCACGCAGGAAGAGTGATGCAGGTGAATCCAATCAGAAGTAGCTCGGAGCAGGTGTCAGAGAGAGAGAGAGAGCCGTTGGTCAATGCCTCTCGACAACCGACCGAGGTTTTCTGCGCAAAAACCAGAAGACATCGTCTACTAATTTTGCGTCCTTCTCTATTACCAAGGAGAGCCGACTACTTCTATCGAGTTTTTGTCTTCAGACTCGGTTTAATTATTATCTTTTCGAGATTTTCAAACAATTGTTTGATTGGAAATTTCAAGATTCTTGATCATGATCAAAGTAGTCACAAGAAATTGCTTTATAATGTCGTTTTAAAATATGATAATCCTACGAAAAGTGTTCGCCTCTCAATTGAGGAACGAATGAAGTCTCTATTTGCGGCCGAGTAAGTAGTAAAGAAGTCTGACACGTAGACGTCGGATGCGGTTTGCCGCATTCGCCCAGTTGGATCGACACCCTATGGTTTACCGGGTTCGCACCCTCGCGCTGTTGGCCGACCGTCGCGTCGTCGTGCGAACCCCGCGTCCAGCTGTCGCGTGGCTTTTGCTCTCGCTTCAACACCTACCGTCCCATTCTATTCTAACCATTCATTGGCCGTGCCGCTTTCTCTTTACGTCGTCGCGTCGTTACACACCGATATACTCGCAATAGCGACTTTAGAGTGATAAGAAAGCCTTCCCGTATTGATACGCACACACACAATTGTAATAAGCAAAACGATTACAATCGGTCGTACGATTTGTTTTAAATCAATCGGATTCAAAATCTACAACAAGATTCTATGGTTAAGATATTAAAAAAAAATGTAAGGAAAGGTGTTTCGATATAAACGTGTGACTAATTTCAGAAAAATTCAATAGATTTTTAATTCAGATTTGTTCAAGCTCAGGGTTTTGTTCAACTTGCTATGAATCTTATTTGTCGCATTCAGTCCTATTTCCCGAATCATTTAGAATGGTACGATTGGCGCAATGACAAGTTCGAGGACCACCGATGCGAAGAAACCCTCCGAAGCGTTCGACTCAGTCATTGTTGAAACTTTACGATGACCCGCGTCCCTCGAAAGGTCTCGGCTAGTGTTACGCGCTTCTTAGAAGGTAGCCCGGCCGAGAGGAGCCGCACTGGTTTTTAATTTATGCGCTGCATACCCGAAGGCGTTATTAGTCCTAGCTGGCTAGGATGGGCGTGACGTCACGCGGCTAAAACAAAGGATCCTCTAGCCGTGCCCATCCTACGATGATTTTCTTTCAACTGTGCCGACAGAATCCAATGAATCTCGTTCGTAATTGCCTGTTTTACAACCTGATACATAGACAGCTTCTTTTCTTCTATCCTCAAGTTCCTTAGTTTGCTTCAGCTTTCCTTTGATTCAATACGTAGATGCTGATTGCAGATAAACTACAATGATTAGGTATAGCAAGGAAATTGTTATAAACTAATTTGTTGATCTGAGTAATGTTGCTTTAATCGATAACCCTGTTAGTGCCTTCTTCATGTGCTTCTATTAATAATGAGTACATCGACAGTCATTCGCAATGGTATCACCCTAGATACGTAAATCGATCCAAAGCTTCGCCGATCTCAGCGGCTCGCTGTGACCTATAGAGCGCTAACAATAAATAGAACGAGCTTCTTACCGTGCTACCGCGGGATATACAACATAGAACAGAGGAAGGAAGTCGGAACAGGCTAATTGAGAGACGTCGTTGTCTCCACCGGGCTACTGTCATATCGTCCCGCCGGATCAATACGTAGCTTGCCTACAACCTGCACTCACGGAGCTGGGAGAGGGCGTGGCTCGTACACCACCGGCCGAAAGAGATACTCTCTCTCTCTCTCTCTCCTTTTCCCTTTCGTTCTCCTATTTCATCTGCTTTCTATCTTCCCATTTTCTATCTTCTATCTTTCATCCCAGCCGCGAAAAGACTTCGCCTTCCAGCCCTTAGCGTGAAAGAAAAGTCAGAACGAGGAAATTGGAACCGTCCTCTTTTCCTACTGACCGACAGGAGAGGAGACGCAGTCTTCGGAGGAATCCTCTCGTTTGAAAATCTTCAAGTTAACGAAGCAACTGTAATAACACGCGCGAAGGTGCGACGGCGTACGAGGTATACATGAAGGGTTCGATGACCCGCGGCAGGACGACCCCGTGATTTTTCCATTTTTTCTGTAAAACAGTGGAACGGTAAAAGGAGAACGGCGACGACCGCAACCATGGTTATTACCGTGGCAACCTTGCCCGAAGTTACAGCATGGGGTGACCGCGGATTGGTAGGGGTTTTTCTCTCGGTCTGTCGCTCTCTTTGTCTCTATCATCGAAGGGTGCGCGCACCCGTTGTCTTTGGTCGATGTTGGTGCAAGATTGAACCGCGTGGGGGCGTGTCGCCTCGATGGCGCCGGCTGCTAATGGCCGCGCGGTCCGCCAGACTTTAATTTCCTGCCGCTTCCGCGGACTCTTTTGCCTTTACCTTTCCACGTCCGAATCCGCTTCGGACCCTTTCTTTCCAGCCTCCAGCCTTTCGGTAGCCGCCCGACCGTTCCCTGTTCCCATCTTCCTTGCCCTCGGGCCGACGACGTCCCGGATGATTTGCATGCGAACGAGTCGTCGGGAAAACGATGGGAATAACTAATAGGAAACTCTGAATAACTTTTAGTCGCAAATGTAATTGCAACCAGCATGAGGGATTCGTTGTTGATTCGATTTCGACAATAGTATTAATGATAATGTTTGGCGTCGTTATGACATGAAAGTAGACGAGATAAAATTGCCTCGGGGCAGACTCGTTTTATGCTTGAAAGTTCTCAGGACACGAAATGGGAGCTAGATACTGTTCCAGCTAGTTTTAGGCACTCTTAGATCTCTTTTCTAGGATAGGACCGGCAATTTAGTGTCATTATACATCCTCGGGTGAAGCCCCGGGTCTCGATACGGCGGCCGGTGGCGAGAGCCAGTCGGGACCACGGTCTCTTTTTTGGGTCGATTTAACCACGATTATGGCCGCATCGTCGTCCGTTGGATCTCGATATTACGAGCTGCGTTACCTTGAGAAAGCGTCTCAATCGGGGCCGGCCGATTTCGAGCCCGGGAATCGATGTAGCATACGCGCGGGCACCTAATTCGCGAACCCCGCCGAAACTCGTTATTATCGGCTTGCGTAATCGTATCGGAAGAGTGGACCGTAATTCCGAGGTAACACCTGCTCAGGAACGCCGTAATAAAATCGTGGTGGCTAGCGTGTCGTATTGGCCCCGGTTGGCTGGCTCCCTCGATCGTCCGAACGTCCGACGAAAAATTCAACCTCTACGCCGGTTGGTAATCGCCTCGTTCGTTTTTCTCGTTTCAGGACCATCCGGGCTTACGGGGCACGCCGCTGGCGATGCTCGCGGCTCAGTGCAACAAATTGAGCAGCAAGAGTCCACCGCCGTTGGCCGACGCCGCGGTGGGCAAGGGTTTTCATCCATGGAAGAAGAGTCCGCAGAGCAGCGGCAGTTCGCCGCAACATTCGACTGGAAGCGGCGGCGGAGGAGGAGGCGGCGGAGGTGGAGGAGGTGGGTGCACGACGACCGGAGTGAGTCAGAGGCCGGCGGCGACGAGCAGCGCTGGGAGCACGACCGGTGGCTATGCGAGAGCGCCGGTGACTTCGTGCGCGTCGACTGCGCCCCAATACGGCAGTGATCTGTATTTCCCCGGGACAGCGAGCGCGCAACCGGCTGGCGATCCGCATCATCATCAGAGCAGCCTGCTCGGTAAAGTCGAGGGAGCGACCTTGGGCTCGGTATACGGACGACACCCGTACGAGTCGTGGCCGTTCAACGCGATGCCGGGCGCTACGCACGGAGGCATAAAAGCCAGCGATGGTTGGTGGGACGTTCACGGTGCGGCTACCGCCGGTGGATGGCTGGACGTCGGCAGTACCGTCGGCGTCGGCGTCCACGCCGCGCAAATGGCCAATTACTCGGCAGACTACTCGACGAGTCTAGCGCTCGCGGGCAATCATCTGTTAACCACCGCTACCACCGCCGGACACAATCTCCTTCAAGACACGTACAAATCGATGTTACCGGGAGGTCCGCCCGGTTTCGGGCTACATCATCACGCGGCGGCGTCGGCGAGCGCGGGCGCCGGTGCCGGCAGCCCCCAAGGTAGCGGTGGTGGCGTCGGCGTCGGCGCCGGCGGCGTCAGTCAAGCGCCCTCGCCGCGATCGCAAAGACGATACACCGGCCGTGCGACCTGCGACTGTCCGAATTGTCAAGAGGCCGAAAGACTCGGCCCGGCGGGCGTACATCTTAGGAAGAAGAACATCCACAGCTGCCACATACCCGGCTGCGGTAAGGTCTACGGGAAAACGTCGCATCTGAAGGCCCACTTACGGTGGCACACTGGTGAGCGACCGTTTGTTTGCAACTGGCTTTTCTGTGGCAAGCGGTTCACACGTTCGGATGAGTTGCAGCGGCACCTTCGAACCCACACCGGCGAAAAGAGATTCGCCTGCCCGGTCTGCAACAAGCGGTTCATGCGCAGCGATCATCTCGCGAAGCACGTCAAGACCCACAGCAGCAGCAGCAGCAGCAGCGGCAGCAAGGGCAAGGGGGGAGCGGGGAGCTCGTCGGCCGAGTCCTGCTCCGACAGCGAGGACAACGGGAGTCAGCAGAGTCCCACTTCCAGCTCGGTGCCGCCGCAGCCGCAGCCGCCGCCGCCGCAGCAGCAGCAGCCACAGCAGCAACCTCAGGGCCAGCCCCAGGCTCAGGCCCAACAACAGCAACAGGCGCTGGCGGCGGCGGCGGCAGCGGCAGCGGCGGTAGCGGCGGGCCAGGACACCACCAACAACACCACACAATCCCAGACCACCACCAGTCTCGGCCATCAGCCGACAACCCCCATGACCCCAATACAGATGACCCCACCGCCTCTGACCCCACACCATCCCCACCACCCGCATCTCCCGCCTCTAATGCACCATCCGCATCATCACGCAACATCCGTGCCAGCGGCCCACCATCCGCACGCGGGGATGAGCATGCACTGAGCCCGGTGGGGCCCGGAGCCGGTGCCTGCAGTACCGCTGCCGCAACGGCCCTGGGCTCCCCCCTATCCTACCCCCTGAACTTGAACCTCGTCCAGAATCACCAAGCCATCAGCCACCATCACACCACTACACCATCCAACGCTCCCCATCATCAACAACATCAGAACCATCATCACCATCATCACCAACACCATCATCACCATCAACATCACTCACGTCAGAGCAATTCCTATTCCGTACAACAAAATCCTGGCACGCCGGGGACCGCGCAGACTCCCTCACCCTCGTCCCCCGCGCCTGTACATAGTCTCTAGATTGACATCTTTTCGTCTGGCCACTCTTTCCTATTATCGACCATCGACAACGATCGTCTTCTAAAACATTGCCGACAATTCGACGGCACTCGAGACGACAATTTCGAACGATCGCACGTTTTCTTGCCAGATTCGTGAACGAATCTCTGTATAGCTGACCGTTGCCCTGGCGATCGCTTCACCGATCCTCTGCCCCTTGTCCTCTTCGTCGGCAGTTCGTACCTCTCCCTTGCACTTGTCGATACGATCGGCTCTTTGTTACTTGTAAATACTTATACATAGCGCGTGAGAAAGATATTATATTAATTATGCGGTGTAATTTTAAGCGGTGTAAAAAAGGAATCCTACATAAACGCACTTTGTCGCGATGTACCATACACTGGAAACACGTACGTAGTCATACACACACACACACACGCATAATACACGACAGGCAAGGAAAAAATATACATAAATGATGCGCGCGTTATTGTACGATCCCGTCAATTCGTACAGCATCCATAGATCACGTCCCCCACCGAGCAGGTTCCAAACGGATTTTCGAACGCAACGGATTTTCATTGTCGCGATTATCTATTAATTTCGCGTGATCGCGTTTGAAACCTGTACTTCGGATTAGATTTCCCCCGCGTCGATCGACCAGCTCCCGTCGATCATTAAATATCAGGATATTATGGATTAATTATTACGGATGAATTAATTAATTATTAATTATTATTAATTATTATTAATAATTATTATTGATGTATTATTATGAAGATTATAAATTCATTTTAAGAGAGATAAAAAGAGAAAAATAAACGATGCTTTTGTGAGTAACCTGGACCAGTTCTCTTTCTCTCTCTTCTGCTGATCACTAAATCTATTTTTCACCCCCTTAGCTTTGCCCTCGTAGCTTATGACATTTTCTGGCGGGCCGACCGCATCCTGGATTCTCTTCCTAATCAAACCGGATGGAACCATCTACTGATTTAATTCTATTATATTCGCATAGAAAGCTCTATTTGACTCGAGTTCGATTGCTTCTCCCGACTCATACATGTTCACTTGCGAAATTCATTTTCATTCGTGTTTCCAATGCACTAAGTATCACTCTCATAATCGATAAGTGTTTGAAACGAATGTGTAATTTATTACATGCGCGATTTGCATTAAAATTCTTCGCGAGAGATTTCTGCCTTTGTCGGTCCGCGAACAAAATCGACTAGCGAGCGCTGTTTTCTTTTTATACACCGGCCGACGATCTCCTTACCTTGATTAACCCGAAAAGGGTTTTTATCTACTTCCCGATATTATTCCTGTTGGCCTATTTCTCCGTCGATCTCGAGACCTGGCCGCTACGTATCCGAGCACTCGACGTTATTACCGAGGATGACTCGGCTTATTCCGAACCTCGGCCCCGGCCTCCCTTCACTAATGCCTAAATAATGACGTGTATACGCGACATGCAGCTTTATAAGCTTCGATAAATTTAATTACCCTCGATTCCCGAAGGTCCGCGCGCGTAATTTCCTTTTAATCGCGTGTCATTAAAGAAAAAAAATGCATGAAACGTTGTTGAATCGAACAGTTCTTTATGGGCAGCTACAACAGAAAGCATGACTTACGAATCATTTCTCTTAAAATTGTACTTACGCGGGTCAAATAGTAAGTAAATATAGTATGAATACAGCGGGGAAGATTGAATGATCTGGCAACGGCGGACCGTAACGGAGCTTTAAACGATGCCCCGCATTTCGCTAAATCGGATCAATATGCCAGAGATAACGGAATAAGATCGTTATGCAAAGCAGTTCGTGGAGGGTCCGAAACGATTGCGTCGCGACGCTGTGCGCCGCGATCCGCGGGGGGTGCGGTTAATGTCGAGCCGCGTACAAGCCCAAGGGAGCTGGCTTTTTCGGTGATTTAACCAAGGAGGGTGAACGTTTGTTATTCAATTTGCGACCCCCTCGGTACCAGCCACTGTGTTCTCCCCCTCTATCCACAGATCATCGCGCCTTTTACGACCGTCACCGTACGCACGCTTCGCCAACCGACTCAAGTATCTCTGCTCCGTTCAGATACGATTAACATTTGTCTGTCATCCTCTCTACGTACGTATGCACACGCTTTCGCTCGTTTCCGTTTTGTCTCCATTGCCAAGCACATTACTCCCACGTCACGCTATTAAGGATTCCTATTCAGTTGGAAGATTTTTGTTTAAGGATGTATTGGCTATACAGTCAATCCCAAAAGTTGATGTACTTTAGAAAAACGCATTTCCTATAATTAAAAAGAAATCAGACGTCTATAAATAGCTACGTGCTAAAAAGTATAGAAGGAAATATCCAATTAAGTATTGACGCTGACGAAAATTTTTTTTTTTCAAAATTTCGAAATATGCTTGAAATAACAGTTGTTTTCCTTCTAACTTCGATATTTAACGAGTTACGTATGATTATTTGGCATTTTATTGATGGTGACAAAATCCGACCATCCCAGCGTCGAAACGGCGAACTTTTGGCAAAAAATTTCATTTTTCCTTAATTACTCCTAAACCGTTGAATCTACGGGAAAATTGTATGGGACCTTTCTTGTAG